CAGTACACAGCCTCCTCACCATCAAGACTCCTGCTGTGCCTCCTCGTGGCAACACACGGTAACTGGGTGCCTCGTGGGCCCAGGCTAGACCAGCAGGGGATCTCGGAGTAGCAGTGGGCCCCAGAGGGACGGCGCATAGGCCCACTGGCCTGTGGACGCGTCCTGACGCCTACCAACCATTGTCCCGCTGTCCTGTGGATTAACCTAGGTAGTTATAGGGCTACGGGATTAAACCCCGAACGAAAAATCTGCCGTGGAGCTCTGCATCAGGAAGACATGCTTACAGAGCTCCAACAAGACGGAAGAGGTGATCACCTTGAGAACCCAACGACTACACCGGCGGGCGAAGGCAATGCCTGATGAACAGGCTACCAAGGCGAAACCCAACAAACTGGGCTACCGGCAGTCCATTGCAACTCTCCCTCTCCCCTTGTCGTTGCAACACTTGCACCACTGGATCAGGAAAAGGGAGAGCCAAGATGTGTGGTTGCAGCCTGCGCTCCTGCCTCACCACAGTCATCATCCAGCTCATCATACCTCTCATCATCATCAAAACCCCTATACCCCCAAAATTCCTATGGCGACGGACGAGTGGCGACGGGGACAGGTAGAGATGACTGCCGGGAGTCTCTAGTCACAACTCTGCACATGGGCGGCAATCCCGTCCTGTCTGTGCGACTGAGCAGCCCCTTCGAGGAGCCACTCTGCTCACCCCACATGGGGAGTGGGCTAGAAAAGGTGCCCTAAACATAGCCTGTCTAGAAAACCAACCTGACAGGGCAACTGCACCCAGTAAGGTCATCCTTATGCAGTCGAAAACACAACCAAAATCACAAATCCAAGCAAAACAAACTATACAACCTTTTATGGTCGCTGCATGGAATATCAGGACCCTTCTGGATTCTGGCACAAATGGGCGGCCTGAAAGAAGAACCGCCCTTGTGGCAAAAGAGCTGGCTAGGTATAACATCGACATAGCAGCCATTAATTGGTCCTGGCTCCCAGACGAGGGTCGACTCACATAACGGGGATCTGGCTATACCGTCTTCTGGAGAGAGAAACCGCATTTATGGAGTTGGCTTTGCCATCCGCCAACGCATCCTACACAGGCTAACTGAAATGCCTGTTGGGATCAATAACAGTCTCATGACACTCAGAGTCCCACTGAATCACTCACGTCATGTCTCCTTCATCAGTGTATGCGCCCCAACACTGGATGTAGAGGATGACATCAAGGAGGCCTTTTACACCGACCTTGACAGAGTGCTAACCTCTATCCCCAGAGTAGAAAGATTGTGATCCTAGATGACTTCAATGCCAGAGTTGGCAGAGATGCTGACATTTGGCAGGGAACCATAGGGAGATATGAACTAGGCAAGTGTAATCACAACGGCTTATTCCTCCTCAGCAGGTGTGCTGCTCACAACCTCACTATCACCAATACCTTGTTTAGGCAAGCCAACAAGTTCAAGGGATCGTGGCAACACCCACGATCCAAACACTGGCATCTCATTGACTACATCATTGTCAGAAAAAGAGATCGCCGAGATGTCCTCATCACCTGAGCCATGCGTGGCTGAGACCACTGCAACATTGATCATCGGCTCATCAGAGCCAAGCTCTCACTTCATGTTGCCCCAAAACGGCGAAGGCTACAGGCTTCCAGAAAAGGTTTTAACACTAAGCGTCTGGAGGACCCAGCAGTAGCACATTCCTTCAGAGAACTGCTCGAACATGGGTTGATAAACAATCCAACAACAAACAACCTAAATCCCATTGCCGAATGGGGTAGTCACGACTCTGTCATGACAAAAACCTGCAGAGAGACCTTCGGCCAGTTCCAAAGAATACACCAGGACTGGTTGATGAAATTTACTCATCCATGATAAATGTGCTGCTGTAACTGACTTGCTGAACAACCCTCAGTCTCGGACCAAAACTAATATCTTTAGCAAGAAGAAAGCAGCTACCCAATGCGAACTTCACAAATTAAACAACGACTAGCTTAAAAATTCAGCATGTGAAGCGAAAAACTTGGATCAACACAAGATGACCCAATTATTCATTCCCACTAAAACATTTTATGGGCCAATCACTCATGGCGTACCCCTCAGCTGCTCACTCGACAGTAACACCCTATTTTTTTCATTATGAGGAATAGCCCACCTGGGCACAGGTCATCGACCCACAACAGGGCCTAGAGGGAGAATAAAATATGAATTAAAAGATATTTAAAAGTAGAAGAGAAAAAGATGAAGAAGGCCTTCTTTAGCACTGGAAAGAGCAATATCATTCGCTGTTCAACCGGAACACCAATGTGGATGTCCTGTTTACCCAGCAGGTCCCTCAGCACTCAGAGCTGACCCACCTCAGCTATCCTCCATCCCTGGATGAGGTAGCTACTGCCATCAAACAGATGAAAAATAACAAAGCCTCAGGGCTTCACGGAATCCAAGCCGAGGTGTATAAAGCAGGAGAACCTCTGCTTATCAGCCGTCTCCACTCTCTCCTAGCGAATATATGGGAAAAGGAGGAAATCCCCCAAGCTCTTAAAGACGCCTCCGTCGTCAATATTTATAAGAGCAAGGGAGATCGGTCAGACTGTGGCAACTACCGCAGGATCTCACTGCTGTTCATAGCTGGCAAGATTATCTCTTGAGTCCTCCTAAACAGACTTCTTTCCTGGGGCGGTATATTTCTTCCCAGAATCTCAATATGGCTTTAGATCATCACGTGGCACCACTGACATGACCTTTGCTGCCCTCTGAATACAGGAAAAGTGCAGATAACAGCATCGTGACGTGTACATGGCTTTCATCGCCATTGTGAGGCAACTCCACGATGGTATGAACGGCAGTGTCCTGCACAATGGCACCTAGTCTGGTGTTCTACCCCATTCAAATGGGGATAAAACAAGGATGTGTACTGGCACCAACTCTCTTTTCTATTTTCTTGGCTGCCTTCCTTACTCATGCCAGTGCCAATTTAGGCGGCGGGGTGGACATCCAGTACCGGATGAAGGGTCTTTTTAACATAAGATGACGCCGGGCTGGAACAGAGGTGTCAGCAGCTTCCATTACTGAACTTTAGTACGCAGACGACCTCTCCCTTGTTACTCACACTGAACTGGAGTTCCTGAACATCTTTGCAGATGCAAATGCACACTTCGGCCTTGAGGTGAGCGTACATAAAATTCAGATTCTCTTTCAGCCACACCTCCACCATCCGTCTAGCTTAACGGTACTACCCTCTCTAATATCATCCACTTTCAGTATCTCGGCTACCACTTGTCCACTACCGCGGACATCGATGAAGAGATTCAACATCGGATTAGATGTGCATCTCAAACCTTTGGCTAACTCCATACCCGTGTCTTCAGCTGTAGGGAACTGAAATTATCTACAAAGTTGCACGTATATCGAGCAGTGGTCCTCCCCACCCTGCTATATGACAGCGAGACAGGGGTCACATACAGGATGCACCTCAATGCACTTGAAACTTTCACTAAAGTAGTCTATGTTCCATCCTCCGAGTTCGCTGGGAAGACAAGAGAATAATGCAAGTATTCTCACTGACACCAACTGAAGGAGCATCGGGGCTACCATTATCCCTGAACAGCTATGCTGGACTGGCCATGTTAACCACATGGACGTCAGTAGACTGCCAAAACAGCTACTGTACAGTCACCTAATGAATAGTAGACGTAACGCCGGCGGGCAACTGAAAAAAAAGGATAGTGTTAAGGCAAACCTAAAAAAGTGGCATATCGACCCCCTCACCTGGGAGACGATTAGTTCACATCGCAACGCTTGGAGGAGCACCACACGAGAAGGTATCAATGCTTTCCAGTTAGCCCGACTGCAGACCGAGGCAGACAAGCGCCAACATCGGAAAGACGCTGCCACCGCCCCTCCCGCACTAGATGTAGCCCTCCACATGTGCAACATCTGTGGACGGTACAGCCGGCCCTGTATTGGCCTCTTTAGTCACCTCAGAGCTCACCAACCTAGGTGACATCCTTAATAACTCATATCATTGTATCATAGCTGGATGATCGTCATACTCGATTCCGAGTGACAGCAAAGTAGTAGTAGTACTAGAAGTGTGTTTGTATGTATATATGAATGTATGTATGTATGTATGTATGTATGTATGTATGTATGTATGTATGTATACATATATGTATGTATGTATGTATGTATACATACAGTATATGTATGTATGTATGTATGTATGTATACATATATGTATGTATGTATGTATGTATAAAGAAATCGTTTACTGGATATCGATAAGCCAAAAAACAAAACACCATAACAAATTTTAACCACCGAATATTTGAACCCTAAGTATGAGCCATCTCACACCTGAACCATCGGACCCCTGAACCACCCCACACCTAAACCCTCCCACACCTGAACCCTCGCAAACCTGAACCCTCCCACACCTGAACCATCCCACCTGACCACCCACACCTGAACCCTCCCACCTGAACCATCGACCCCTGAACCCTCCCACACCTGAACCCTCCCACACCTGAACCATCCCACACCTGAACCCTCACACACCAGAACCATCGGACCCCTGAACCCTCTCGCACCTGAACCATCCCACACCCAACCCTCCCACACCTGAACACTCGCACACCTGAACCATCGCACACCTGAACCGTCGCACACCTGAACCCTCTCATACCTGAACCATCGGACCCCTGACCTCTCACACCTGAACCATCGGACCCCTGAACCCTCCCACACCTGAACCATCCCACACCTGAACCCTCGCACACCAGGTCCCTGCACACCTGACACCTGAACCTCCCACACCTGAACCATCCCACACCTAAACCCTCCCACACCTGAACCATCCCACACCTGAACCTCGCACACCCTGAACCTCGCACACCTGAACCTCGTCCAAATCGTTCCAGCAGAGATCAAGGACCATAACACGAGCTCAAACAACAACAATAACACTACTATAATGTGGTGCAGGTATACCAGGTGGAGGTACTGAGCCAGTGACCAGGAGATTCTGAGCCGGTGACCAGGTGCAGGTACTGAGCCGTGACAGGTGGAGGTACTGAGCCAGTGACCAGGTAGAGGTACTGAGCCGGTGACCAGGTGCAGGTACTGAGCCGGTGACCAGGTGCAGGATACTGTGCCGGTGACCAGGTAGAGGTACTGAGCCGGTGACTAGGTGCAGGTACTGTGCCGGTGACCAGGTGCAGGTACTAAGCCGATGACCAGGTGTAGGTACTGAGCCAGTGACCAGGTGGAGATTCTGAGCCGGTGACCAGGTGCAGGTACTGAGCCAGTGACCAGGTGGAGGTACTGAGCCAGTGACCAGGTAGAAGGTGACCAGGTGCAGGTACTGAGCCGGTGACCAGGTGCAGGATACTGTGCCGGTGACCAGGTAGAGGCTGAGCCGGTGACTAGGTGCAGGTACTGTGCCGGTGACCAGGTGCAGGTACTAAGCCGATGACCAGGTGTAGGTAATGAGCCAGTGACCAGGTGTAGGTACTGAGCCGGTGACCAGGGAGAGGTACTGAGCCGGTGACCAGGTGCAGGTACTGTGCCGGTGACCAGGTGGAGGCACTGAGCCGGTGACCAGGTGTAGGTACTGAGCAGGTGACCAGGTGGAGGTACTGAGCCGGTGACCAGGTGGAGGTACTGAGCCGGTGACTAGGTGCAGGTACCTGTGCCGGTGACCAGGTGCAGGTACTGAGCCGGTGACCAGGTGTGGGTACTGAGCCGGTCACCAGGTGTAGGTAATGAGCCAGTGACCAGGTGTAGGTACTGAGCCGGTGACCAGGGAGGTACTGGAGGTGACCAGGTGCAGGTACTGTGCCGGTGACCAGGTGGAGGTACTGAACCGGTGACCAGGTGTAGGTACTGAGCCGGTGACCAGGTGTGGTACTGAGCCGGTGACCAGGTGCAGGTACTGAGCCGGTGACCAGGTGGAGGTACTGAGCGGGCGACCAGGTGCAGGTACTGGTGCAGGTACTGAGCCGGTGACCAGGCGGTACTGAGCCGGTGACCAGGTGCAGGTACTGAGCCGGTGACCAGGTGCAGGTACTGAGCCAGTGACCAGGTGGAGGTGTGAGCTGAGCCGGTGACCAGGTGCAGGTACTGAGCCGGTGACCAGGTGCAGGTACTGTGATGGTCCGGTGACCAGGTGCAGGTACTGAGCCGTGTGTGTGGTCCGTTACCTGTTGACTAAAGTAACGTCTGGGCCGGAGTAACAGTTGTGTTAGAGAAGCTGTCACTGTTTAACACCTGTGAGTAGTATTTGAATTACATGTCCAGGTGTATATTATGGGTAGTGATACTAGATCGAGAAATACACACACACACACACACACACACACACACACACACACACACACACACACACACAGACACACACACGATGGGGAGGCCTGGGACCACACCTAAGTGAGTGAGGTCCTGTGACCACGTGGTGTCCCTATGATGCTACGACGCCACGTAGTGAATGAGTTGCTAAAGCATCATGTGAAGTTCCTCATAACACCATCTGTGAGGGAATTACTACACCACATGATGCCACTCATAACACCATCTGTGAGGGAATTACTAAACCATGTGATGCCCCTCATAACACCATCTGTGAGGGAATTACTAAACCATGTGATGCCCCTCATAACACCATCTGTGAGGGAATTTCTAAGCCATGTGATGCCCCTCATAACACCATCTGTGAGGGAATTATTACACCACATCAGGCCCCTCATACACCATCTGTGAGGTAATTACTACACCACATCAGGCCCCTCATAACACCATCTGTGAGGGAATTACTAAGCCATGTGATGCCCCTCATAACGCCATCTGTGAGGGAGTTACTACACTACGTGTCTGCTGTTCAACACCTCAGCTCACATGATCTACGTGTGTAAACATTAATCTGTATGTTCACTGTATGTTCCTTCACCTTTCTCTAATGAAGGCTTTTGTTAAACCACCAATGTATGTAATAAGTCATTTATGTCCAATGTATATTTTCAGCCTTCGGGCTGCAAATTTTTTCAATAAACCGTTTATTATTATTATTATTATTATTATTATTATTATTATTACACACACACACACACACCTATTGTTAAAATAATAAACAACTCCTGATTTGTGTACTGTACAGCCCTGTAAATGTATTCAACGCATATCATTATGACTAAATCAAATGTAAGTTTGTATATTTTCAGCCACTGGCTGCAACTCTATTAATAAACCGTTTATTATTATTATTATTTTTATTATTTTACATTACTACTACTACTTTGCTGTCACTCGGAATCGAGTATGACGACCATCCAGCTATGATACAATGATATGAGTTATTAGGGATGTCACCAAGGTTAGTGAGTTTTGAGGTGACTAAAGAGAACGATACGGGACCCGCAGAGTCGTTCACAGATGTTGCACATGTGGAGGGCTACATCTAGTGCGGGAGGGGCGGCGGCAGCGTCTTTCCGACGTTGGCGCTTGTCTGCCTTGGTATGCACTTCGACTAACTCGAAAGTATTGACGCCTTCTCATGTGGTGCTCCTTAGTCATGTTCCTTAATAATGCTCCTTAGTAATTTTCTTTGGTAATGTTCCTTAGTGATGTTCCTTAGTCAAGTTCCTTAGTAATGTTCTTTGGTAATGTTCCTTAGTGATGTTCCTTAGTCAAGTTCCTTAATAATGCTCCTTAGTAATGTTCTTTGGTAATGTTCCTTAGTGATGTTCCTTAGTCAAGTTCCTTAATAATGCTCCATAGGAATGTTCTTTAGTAATGTTCCTTAGTGATGTTCCTTAGTCATGTTCCTCAATAATGCTCCTTAGTGATGTTCTTTAGTAATGTTCCTTAGTGATGTTCCTTAGTCATGTTCCTCAATAATGCTCCTTAGTAATGTTCTTTAGTAATGTTCCTTAGGGATGTTCCTTCGTAATGCTCCTTAGTGGTGTTCCTTAGTGATGTTCCTTAGTAATATTTCTTAGTCAGGTTCCTTAATAATGCTCCTTAGTGATGCTCTGTAGTAATGCTCTTTAGTAATGTTTTTTAGTAATGTTCCTTAGTAATGTTCCTTAGTGATGTTCCTTAATGATGTTCCTTGATGAGGTTCCTCAGTAATATTCCTTCGTCTTGTTTTTGTGATGTTCCTTAATATTAACAATAGTGATAATTGCCTTTAATATTTCCAGGTATAATTTAACCTACTGTACATACATTTATACATACATATAAAGATACATACATACATACATACATACATACATACATACATACATACATACATACATACATGCATACATAGATGCATACATACATACATACATACATACATATTCCCCTCCCTACACCACACACAAGTGGACTACACAATACACCTACTGTATATCAACTTAATTACGTTATACCTGGTAGTATTACCTGACAGATGAAATTAACCAATACACTACATTCTCCTTTCTCATCTTACTTTTACTCTTTACTTTTATCCTCTTCACCGCTCGTCAGCCGCTAGGGCGGTCGGTCACGTCTCTGATACGCACTGATGGCAAGTACTGGGCATGCACCGGCTCCTGAATGTATCTAAACCTGCTCTAGTGTTGGTTAAACCAAAAACAGATCCACCAATCACAATCACCTTTACACACAGCCTTCCTTTACCAAGTATTGCCAAGTAAAATTGCGAGCACGAGACCCAGGGTGGGGTCGGTGCATCTCTGGCTGACTGTACATTCGACCGAGTAGTGCCCCCTGAGATGTTCATACACTTCGATTGGGTCGCCCCTTGTCCGTGTGTAGTATAATCTAGGTAGTTGCAGGCACTCCAATCTCTCTGGGCAACTGATGTTGTCTAGAGCAGGAACCAGTCTGGTGGCCCTCCTTTGGACATTTACAATCAATTGACAGTCTCTTGCATACCTCGGGGACCAGATAAGGTGACAATACTCCAGACGGGGAAGAACCTCACTCTAGAAGATCGTGACGAACAACGGACCATCCAGATATCTAAACGACCTTCTTATAAGACCTACTAGTTTCGTTGACCTGATTCACCTTCCTCTCACAATGGCTCGAGAACTTAAGTTCATTATCGACATACAACCTCCAGTCCTTTTCACATTCGGTTTCAATTAACGCAGTCTTTTCGTCCTATTGGGACATGTGATGCGCCTCCATACTATTAGTGCGACCCAGGTGCATCCTTTTGCACTTTGTGACATTGAATCTTAGCAGCTATTACCTCGACCATTCTTGAAGCCCACAGAGATCTTTCTGCAGCTGTCCACAGTCTGTTTGGTTCTTAATGTCCATAAATATCTTGGCATCGTCCACAAACATTTGTATGGAGGAGTGTATAGCTTCTGGCATGGCATTAATGAATCAGACAACAGCAACGGCCCAACACACTGCCCCGTGGTACCCCGCTTGTCACAGGTACATATGACGATTTGTACCATTTATCACTACACACTGATTGCGATCATGCAGAAAGTCTCTGATCCACGCTAGGACATTTCCCCGAATCACGTACCCTTCCAGTGTAATTCTCAGCCTTTCATGGGGTACGCTATCAAAAGCCTTGGCAAAATATATGTATATAATGTCGATATTTCCGCCTTGTTATAGAATATGAATCCAAACCTTGAGTAATTGTGTGAAGCAGGATCTTCCCAGCATAAAACCGTGTTGGCATTCCTTGTTTTGTAGCAGATTTTCCATCATGGCATCTCTTACGATACTATTTAGTACTTTGCACACTATGCTGGTCTGTCTCACTGGTCTATAATTATTCGTGGAGTGACGATCGCCCTTCTTGAAGTTAGGACTTACATAACATTTTCCAGTCATTGAGGATCTTTTGCTCTTCCAGGCATTTACAGAACAAGATCTTAAGAGGATCCACAATCTCGTTACACAGTTCTCTTAACTCTCTGGGTGTACCATATCTGGGCCGGGATTCTTGTGAATCTTTAGCTTTGACAGTTAATGTCTTATAACCTCATCTGAGAACACATATGGGTCAGCTCTGTGTCAAACCATCTTCCTCAAACGCAGGAAGATTGTTCGCCTCTTCTCTTGTGAACACCGATGATAAAGAATTGTCTAACGCCTCAGCCTAGTCCTGGTCAGAATCTGCACAACT